GAAACCCAGACACCGGGAGGGTGAGATCTTCGACACCAAGAAAGAGAGATACCAGATTTCAGAGCAGCATAAGGTGGATCAGAAAGTGGTACACTAACAGATTTTAGCAAAAACCAAAGCTGTTCCTCAGCTCTGGGGCTACCTGCAATCCGTTTTTGCTCTGACAAATGGAATTTATCCTCATAAATCAGTGTTCTAAATTTCTTACTAAACCTAATTAAATAACTGATACATTTAAAAAAAATTTAAAAGTGGTGGGGACAGACTTGGGATGCAGTTCATTGTGAAGGCCCTGGGTTCTATCCCTAGTACTATTACCACCACCAACAAAAAAAGCCTGTGTTACGCTTCAACTCCTTAGATAAGGTTCAGTGGTCCCTCTGTGACTTTGCTTTCCTAAGAGCATTTGTGTTGGGATTTGGCCTTTCCCATGGGACACAGAGAAGCTCTGCCATTGACTCCTGTTCCCAACCTGTGCGTACCTGTGCACAAATGCCACATGGTGTGTGTCCACCCTTTCTCTGTGTCACTTCTCAGTTCGCGATTTTCCCTGGATGCACCGGAATGCAGGTGTTCATGGTGGGTGAGGGGCCCGGCTCCTAATCCTTGTGTGCCTATCTGCTGATGCCCGGGGGTTTCAGGCAAGGGGGCACTTTAGCTAGGCCCATAGCCCTCCAGGCTCTGTACTTGGCACTTGGCATGAGTCTTCAATCTTCCGGAATCATCCCTGGGAGACTTGTTCTCCTATTTTGCAGATACGAAAGGTAAGTCTCTTGCCTGTGAACTCGGGGCTAATTAGCAAAGCAGATGCTGACACAAATGTGAACCTCCCTCACCCTACATCATTTTCAATGCCATTTTTCTAAGGCAATGTCATCCAGTTGGGATTGGCTACCATGGGCCCCACGGCATTCCAGAGGCTGAGGACGTGGCAATGGACAAGGTTGCTGCCCCCACGGAGCTGACAGACCAGTGGGGTGCCTGATAATAAGTAAATGATGCAATATATTAGTGACTGGAAGGGAGAGTTGGCACTTGCTATTTAATGCAAGGCAGGAAGGGAAGCGTCTCTCATAAGATGCTGTGAGGCACGGAGGGAACATAATATCTGAGGGAAGAGTGTGCGAGGCTGAGGGCACAGCCAGCGCAAAGACCCTGAGGTAGAAGTGCGCAGTGCTGGAGAGAAAACGGACTCATGTGGTTGGAGCAGAGGGAGTCAAGGGAAGACAGGAACGGGACGAGTCCCAGAGCAAGTGAGAGCCAGACTCTGCAAGTCCTTGGGCCATAGGGCGGACTCTTGCTTTCCAGGGGTGGAGCCACGGAAGGATTATGAGCACAGAAGGCACGTGATCTGACTTAGGTGCTTGGTGAGAGAGGTGTAGACTTTGCAGTGGAAGCATGGAGCTTGCATCTTTCTCGCAAGTGGGAAGAATGTGGGCGAGGAGGGATGGAGGGTCGGGAGCTGGGTTTGGGACATGTTACATTTGGGGAAGCTCTGAGGTACTCTAAGGGAAGATGCTATTCAGTGGTGGGATGCAGTAGTGGAGGGTCATAGCAAGTAATACTAATGCTTTATTAATATTGAGTTGGTTCTTTTTATTATAACTAATGTAACAGTAAAATTAGCAATAACATTTTTTTTCCCCAGAGGGTACCAGAATCAAACTCAGGACCTTGCACTTGCGAGGCAGGCACTTGTGCTGCCAAGTACATCCCTGGCCTCTCAGACTGCCCTTGAACTCACAATGATCCTCCTGGCTCAGTCTCTCAAGTGCTGAGATTACAGGCATGCGCCACCACGCCCCACTGGCAGTTGCTTTTGAGTAAATGTTACCGTGCAAAAGCTTGGTCCACATAGCACAGTGGTAGCTGATTTGTTAAGAGGTAAGGCAGGGCCAGGGAGATGGCTCAGTAGAGTAAGCGCAAGGGCCTGAGTTCAATCCCTGGTTGCACAAAAAAAAAAAAAAAAAAAAAAAAAAAAAAAGAGGCAAGGCAGAGTCAGGTATAGAGCTGCATGCCCCAAACCAGAGCATTCTGGGAGGATGAGGTAAGAGGATCAAAAATTCAAGCAAAGCCTGGGCAATTTAGCAATTTAGCGATAGCTCAAGGGCATAAACACCTGCCTGGCAAGAGCAAGGTCCTGAGTTTGATCCCTGTACCAAAAGTAAATAAGTGAATATAAACAAAAGGTTGAGATTAGCTCAGTATGAAGGTCCTAGATTCAATCCCATGTGCCCCAGCTACATCCTGTGGAGATGCAAGTTGATGTTATGAATACAGCTTTGTTACAGTGAGCTAGCGGATCAGACAGTGGACCTGGAGGGCCAGCATCTTAAAGGCCCATCTTGCCAGGGAGCTGATTTAGGAGTGGTTTACGCAGGAGATTTGCTTCTCATAGGTAGAGTTTTGTGGCCAGATAACACATATCGGCAGTTCTGGGGGTTGAACTCAAGACCTCACACATACTGGGCAAGCATGTTACCAGTGGGCTACACCACTATCCCTGAGATAGGTGTCTATTCTTGGCACTGGGAATTGAACTCAGGACCTTGTGTTTGTGAGGCAGGCACTGTGCCACTGAGTTATATCCCTGGCCCTCTTAGATGTCTATTTTTAATTCTCAGCATCATAAAGAGGGTTAATTGAGCTGGATAACCCTTCAGAATTCATTTCAGCTCCAGAGAGCATTAAACTTCTTTGCTTTGGAGACAAAAGTGCCTCAGGCCTGCTAGAAACATGAAGGCCAAAAGTCTATAGGTACTAAATGAGGGGCTGGGGAGATGGCTCAGTAGAATAAATGTTTCCCTGACAAGCGCAAGGGCCTGAGTTCAATCCCCGGTTCCACAAAAAACAAAACCAAAAAACAAACAAAATTAAAATAAA